GATTTCAGTTTTAAAAAACTATTTACTCAGGACTTTTTTGATGTCAGTCCCTCCGAAAACACCCTTTTCCACGCCCCTGCGCCAGACATAATTGTTTACAAAATAAACAAGAACTAGAAACAAGCAGAAAAATAAAACTTTTGATTTAATTTATTATGTGCCTATGAAATGTTATGTTTGCCACGTTTTATGAAAAAAAAAGTTTTGTTCAATTTGATTGCCATAAATTTGTGATTTTTATTTAGTTGTAATAATAATTATGTATACGCACCGTTGGATGAAACAAGATTTTGTTTTCCTCAGAATATATTTATTTGTTGTTTTTAATTTTTTATTTTGTACACGAAACCATTTTACTAGAACAACATTTAAACTTTTTGGTGTTTAAGAAATATAAAGTATTAGCACTGCTAAAAAAAATATTTATAAAATATTCATTTATCAAAGTTTAAATATTTATTTTAAACAACTTTATTTGGCAATATTTTGTTACTTATACTTTTTGACGGTTTATTGTTAAACGTTTTTAATGTGCTTTGTCTTGTTGTAGCTTGGTTTAATATAATTTATTTAAATTTATTTATTTATATGTATTACTTTTTTGTTGGTCATATTTCAAAAGACTTCTTATATTAATTTATTTATTTTATGCATTTTATTTAATCAGTAAATTTGGCGAATTGTTGACTCTTCAGCTTCCTGATTCGTAGTAAGCCTCTGGCTCGCAGCAATTATGCTTTTATATATCCAACTAGTACCGCTGCCGATGCCATCGAAGTGGGTTTATTGCGACGCAATGCCGACCAATGCGTTGCCATTGTAAGGCAATAATAAAAACACCACCCACTTTTCCTCCGATTTTCCACCTTCGTAGCGGTGTCGCGAAAGTCCTGGCGACATGTGGACCAATGTAAAATGCAAAAGAGTTCGGCGAGGAGGTGCACTGTATCCTATCCACGAGATACCGGGATGACAACAATTCGACCGAAGTTCGTGTCCGTAACGCGTCGCAACTGCTGTGCTGCCGTTGCTTGAATGAAGCAATGAAATTGAACAACAACAAAAACAGAAAGCGCGCGCAATATTCCGGTAAACATGTTGCCAGCAACATCTTTACGAAACATATCCCATTGAACGTCTTATCAATTTAAAATTAAACTATAGGTACACAGAGAAAAAAACGGAACAATATGGAACTGATATTGTTTCATATCAATTTTTCCATAACAAAACGGTATGATTTCATATCAATATGGTACAAAATCATATGTTCGGAAATATCATTTTGATATGAAAACAGATGGACCGAAATTGATATGAAAAAATACCCGATGGATGATTATTTTTGGTATTTTTTTTTCTCTGTGTACTGTCAAACACAATCAATCACTGTGCTAGTCAGAATTTAGTGTTAAAGGCATTGCACTCAGATATAAAAACCTTGCAGCTAAAAGTTACAAACTTTCTGACGATTAGCCTTTTGTTCTTCAATAAATAATTAAATAAAATGTTTTATAAATAAGGTGTGTTACAAAAAGTTAAATTAGATGATGACATTTTTCAATATTTTATATTTTGTAAAATCATAATAAGTGCATTTACATTAAAATGTATGTAGTAGTATTACTCATTTCTATCGAGTCTGGCAAAAATGTTGCCGACTCCATTACAAACATTCTCCCACCACGGGGGCAATTGAATATTTGTTTCTGCCTGACTGACCTTCACTTAACATTAGACCCAAGAAACAAAACAAACATAAACACAAAAAAAAAAAGAAAAGTATGCAAACATTTTCCATGTAATTGGCAATAAGCCATGTCCTAATGCTAGGCCAAACACTCTGCTCACACACACACGCGTCGGTATAAATGTTTACACGGCTTGGAACGCCGTAAAAACCCGCTATATATTACCCCCAGCTCCTATATAGAGTCGCCACCCAACCCAACCCAACCCAATAGCGGTGTGCAACTACAGGGAATGTGGCAACCTGTTGACATCGAAACGCCTCGTGGCACGTTCACTAATTGCTTCTGACAGTGGCAACAGGTTGAATTTTGCCAGCCGAGCTAATCATTAATTTTGGCCAACGTTAATGCCTTACGCTCGACTGCCTTGGGCTACGATGCCCACGCCCTTTGACCCCCATCACCGATTTTCGGTTGATTTATGTGTCCACCTTAAGCCTTAACCCCAGGGACCCGAAACCCCGACCTTTCAACCCCATCTGTCACTTTACATTCTTGTTGTTTACGGATAAGAAACCTAAAGGTGTCAAAAACAACAACCCCCACTTCTTTCAAGTCCACTTAAAATGTTCCACCTCTACGTTAGGTAAGATGCTGAAAAGGATAGGGGAATATCTTTTCAAGCTGAATAACTTGCTTATGCTAATTGGTGTTTATCAAAAATATATTTACTTCGAAACCATATGGATGAGTGATGATTATCATATAATATGCAAATTTCTATCTTTATTTTACCTTTAAAATATTTAAGAGCTGATTCCGACTTATATTTATATTATTAATATTTGCACCTTTGAACATTAAAGAAATCATTTTTGTAGGACAGAAGCACACTGTGCCTTCTTTAAGCTTTTTTTTATTTTCTGCCCCCTTTTGCCAACTGTTTTCAAAAATCTATTTATGGGAGGTCAGTAAATCTTCCCCACCCCGTCATTATTACCCTCGTTATTACCTGAGTCAGCGAGCTTCTGTAAAAGCTTTTCTAGCCAAGCAAAACAAAAATTAGAAACGAAAAAAACAAAATTCATTGCGATCAATTGCGGGAAATATTTACCAGAAAATCGGAATCAAAGCAATTTCTTACATTTATTTGGATTAATTGACAGTTTTCAGTTGAAAAATTAGCCAAATTAAGTTTTGTGACAGGTCAATCAGTGCAATTCATTGGAAAAGTGAGTGAGAAAATGAAACGAATTTATAAAGATATTTTCGTGTGTCAGTACTGGGATGCTGCTTATCCACTGTTCATTGGGGACTCGGAAAAAGGGGAAAGGCTGTTCCCAGACACTTGTTTACCATGTGAAAATTAGTTGTCTCCCAATTAGATCGAAATTAGCAGCGAGATAAAGTCGGACAGCTGCGCTCGTGCCCATCGAAAGATTCGATTAAGGGGGCTCCAACTCCAGTAAATTTGTTTGAGTTTAGATATGAGCGTGGTGTCTGCTCTCAAATCCACTTTAATAAAGCCGATAATAATACAGTCAACCATCATTAAAATTAATTATAACTTTAAAACTTAGCTTCTAACTTTTATAAAGTGTTTTTATGACTTTGAGAGTTTTTACAATTTATTTTACGTTATTTTTAAAGACTTATCAATTTATAAGGAATAAAATGAATTATAAAATAATTAAATTAATTAGTGATTTAAAAACAAAATAATTTTTGTATATATTACAAAATGATATTCTGCTTCAAGAAATCAGCTTACTTTTGTATGGTTCGATCTACTGAGTTTTAACTGTGTTTATATCGTAAGCAAACAGTTTGGGCTGGTCAGGTCTGGATTTGTTTTGGGTCTCTTCGGTATTGGTGTCTGTATGAGCATGCTTTTGGAGCATGCTGCACTCCCCAGACTGCGTGATTCACTTTGGCAGTCAACCTCTACAAGTGGCACTAGCGCAGAAAATACCCTAGGAAACTGCCAATGACGACACAGTTTATGACGGGGAGTTTCCGGGCAGTTTGGTTTATTGGTTTACATACTATAGACTATAGTTCATTTCCAGCAGAGTGTTAGATAAAAACTTACAATTTGGAAAATTTTCTGATCAATGGAAGATGCCACAATTGTGTGTTGACAAGATAATAAATGTAAATATCTATCGAACTATGTTTACTATTTAAAAGTTTTAAATTCCGCTTTTTAAATTTCTTTTTTAAAGGTAAATGTGGTCAATTTAAAAATTTCAATTTGAACTGCCTTAACAGATGGTAAAAAAAAAAATAAGTAAAAAAAATAGTTACAATAATGAGTAAATTAAAGGCTAAAAACTTTCTTAAGAGTAAGAGTAAGTTTGAAATTTTTAGTGTATTTAGGTACAACTTTATTTAATTCCCATAACTAAATCGATGTCTCCTAAGTGTTAGCCCTATAGGGATTGGTAGGTTTATCCTAAATTTTCCCACTCCAATTTTCACAGATTTCGCGTGTCGCGCCCATGCTGTGACTATTTTTAGAGTCACTGTTGTCGCCTAATCAATTCCACTGCATGTAACAAATATTTGTGCCCCGAAATCGCGTCGACATAAGGGATAAGGGTGGGGTGATTAGGGGATTTTGTCCTTAGGTTACCTCCTGCAGGGCCACGCTTATCGGCACGTCAAAGGGATTTGGCGAGGACATAACCAGATTTGCATGCTCATTGCTAATTAACGAGGATGGTCAAAGTACAGAAGGGGAAGGGGGCATAATGGAAATGGGATGTCTCTGGGTTGTGGGTGGTATTTATGAATTTCGGTTTTTGTTTTATTGCCCTCGAATGTGAACTTTACGATCTGGGGGAGAAGGAGGCAATGCACGCACCGGACACGAAGGCAACGCATGATGCACTGAATCAGAGAACCGGGGGGCCAGTGGGTGGCGTATTGCCTTTGTTCTATAGCACAAAAACTCGGCGACAATGTTTGAGGAAATCTCCATCAACGGATCATTATAAAACTGCAGCTGGCGGAGAAACAGCAAGTCAAACCGCCTCGAACATCCATCAGGGATAGGTGTCGATAGCTACTCGAGAGATTCCAGGCACTCCACTGCACAAAGGTGACTTGATCTTCAGAGCTGATTTTACTTAGGTGATAATTAGCCAAAGAGAGGGAGAATCTCTCGAGAAGAGACTCCCCATCGATTCGGGTTTCTTATCTCCAGCGAGTGAGAACTATCAAACGGCCATAAAAACAAGTCTCAGCCAGAAAATCTTCCAGTTTAAACTGAGACACTGAGACATCAACACGTTGATAAGGCAAATCCAAACGCGGAACTAATCTTCTTCACCTAATAATTCCAGTGAAATTCGTCGTATTCTTTTTCGCTTTTCTTCTAAACGCAACAAGAAGCTATCAGGAAGTTAAGAAAATGCCGGAGAAACAAGTTGCACCTGTTATTAATAACCTGGAGGGTTTCGAAGAGAGTTTACCCGGGTAAGTGGGAATTATTAAATCATCAACAACGGAAGTGTGACCTTGCCTTTGTGACATACAATCATGTAATGAAAAGCAAATTACTGATAAGCAATTCGCTAGCTTTAATCATTTCACTGCTTACTTAACTCACTCTCTTCTTATTTATTCCTTCTTTAAACAAAACTTAAACCCTCTTAATTTCATCAATTTTAATTTACATTTTTATAAAATCATTTTAATAATTTTTTGAATTCTTTAAACAACATTTGAAAAGGTCAAATTAAATACAAATACAATACAAATATAAAAATTTCAAATATTTCTTTTCGAGCTGTAAACATTTTTTTTAATTTTTATTCAAATTTATTTACATATTCTGTATTCTCTTGCAGTTATCTAAGTTCCGAAATTCCGGTTGCCGTACTCTTGGATTATGACGGAACCCTGGCCCCCATTGCAGATAATCCCGCCAAAACCAAAATGCCTGTGGAACTGGAAGCCATACTTCACAAGATAGCTAAGCATCCCAAGGTTTTCCTGGCTGTGATCTCGGGACGAGGTCTCAAAGATGTCCAGAAGCAGGTGAATATCGAAGGAATAACTTATGCGGGAAATCATGGACTGGAAATCGAGTATCCCGATGGCTCCAGGCACGATTACGAGTTGCCGACCGAGATCCAGAAAAACTATACGGACATGGTTCGGGAACTTAAGGAAAAGGTGGAGAAGAATGGAGCTTGGGTGGAGGATAAGAAAGTGTCACTCACCTATCACTACAGAGATACTCCCGTTGAACTGAAGGATCAGCTAAAACAGTTGGCTTCGGAGATCTGCAAAAAGTTTGGCTTCAGAGCGAATCAGGCCCATGAAGCCATCGAAGCCAAGCCTCCAGTAAATTGGAATAAGGGAGAGGCCGCCTTGTATATCCTGAAACAGAAATTTGGTGACAATTGGTCACAGGAGGTCAGTGTTGTTTTTGCTGGCGATGATACCACCGATGAAGATGCCATGAGGGTGAGTTCAAATAGTAATTTATTTGAAACTGCTTGTATTCTATATATTTTGTCAAATGTTTTAGGTCCTCAGAGGCTTGGGTCGCTCTTTTAGAATTTCTGCAGATGCTCATATCCAAACATTTGCGGATTTCCGATTGCCCAAACAGGCTGTGATGACCGATCTTCTCAAATGGATAGCTAATGTTTATGTTTCCTAGATTTTATCATTTTTTAGAAACAATGGATATTCGCGATAAAATTAAATTTGTAGAGTTCATTAATATTAACAAATTTGAATTTGATTTGTGCATAAGCAATACTAAAAATCCGTACTTCTAGATATCAAATAATTTTAAATGTTTAGTTAGTGAAAATTAATAAAAAAAAAAAATTACACATCAAATTAGGAAATAATAAATAACTACTCATTAAACAAAAGGGGAAAAGTGGTAAGTTATTTTTATTTTAAGAACTGTAAAATTTACAAATACAAAAAATTTGAGAAATTGTTTTTTTCTGTTTTGAAAAATATTGATATTTTATATCCTTACGCCCTCGTCAAATAATTTTTTAAGTTGGTGAATCAGGTCAAGATTAATTTGAAGCGAACTTCCGTAATCCGGCAAATAAATATTTGTGTTGATTTCAAGATTATCTGAAACAAAATTGATCATTAATCTCGAAGCTCTTCGTTTGAAGATCAAAAGAAAATAAATAAATCATTGAATGGAAATGTTTTCTAAAGAACATAGATCCAGATAAATGACTTTTCCGTTGTGTGAATGATCAAAATCCGCAGTTTTTAATTAGATTACTCTTTTTTCTAAATAATACCGAGAGAATCTGGCTAATAACGGCAGCACAAAGTGTGTCAACTTACAAGAAACACTTCCAAAAAGCAAACAACCTCAAACAAAGGTGCATCAAAGACATCATCAAAATATATACACACTATATGGACCCCCTGCTCTCCACAAAACCGAAAGTGGCGGCTATATAGACGGAAACCGTGTGTGTATTCTTTCATTATATATAAATGCCTCGAATACAGTCGAAGATCCATTATAGAATGTGTTTTTTTATGCGCATATGCCTCATAAATATTGTGGGAATTACTTGGCCAACGTACGGGACCAGAGTTGCCACCGCATATTTTGAGAGAGGCAGAAGCGAGAAGAGAGCGAGATTGGATCGCCGGATACTTATAGATCGCCAGCGATATATGGCTGCTGGGGATAGCTGGTCATTAGTATTAAATCGGTCGAGGAACGTCCAGCACGGCGCGCGATAACCGTAAAATACAAAATAATTCGTACACCTTAGAAACTGAGAAACATATAAAAATGGCTGAGCAAAAAAAGGCCCCGCTACTGAAGAAGGAGGAGGACTACGTGAAGGCCCTCGAGGGGTGAGTTATTGAGGATCACCCGTGCAGGAGATTTCAGGATCTAAAGAACTTCTGTTCTTTCGACAGCTTCATTAACCCCGAAACTGATCAGGTGGTTCTGCTGCTGGATTACGATGGCACTCTGGCCCCTCTTACCGAGGAGCTCTCCGTGATGCCCAAGGATACTGAGATCAACATCAAGAAACTGGCCGCCAACGAGAAGATCTTCATGTGCGTCTTCTCCGGCCGCGAATTGAGCGAAATCAAGAACCACCTCAAGTTCCCCAATGTCACCTATGCCGGCAACCACGGTCTGGAGGTCGAATATCCTTCCGGCAAGAAGTTCAAGATCGAAATGCCCGAGGAATTGCTCGAGAAGCACAACAAACTGGTGGCTGAGCTCAAGGAAAAGGTAAGTCAAATGGATTTTTATAAATAAATTGAAGAGAAAGAATATATTCATCATTAGGGTAGAACATTTATTAAGTGAAAATATCAAAGGCAAAGCTGTCCTCCTAAAAATAAAACAAAAATAAAAATGACACTTAATAAACTGTATTAAAAAGATAGTCAGAGAAACTATCATAACATTTTAAAAACCTTTCAAAATTATTAAAAAAGGAAGCAATTTATGAAAAGAAATATTCAAATTCCAATGGAGTAAAAAATTAACAATTGATAAATTTAAAAAAATTATAAAAAAAAATTATAAATTTTGCAAATGACTCAAGAGAATGTTTAAATACACAATAAGAATTTTTACATTAATTAAAATTAAAAGAAGGGTTTAATTTATAATATTTAAGTATTTTAAAACGAAAAACTTAAAGAAAGTGGTTTAAAATCATGCAGATCAATCCGATATACTAAACTCATATTCTTAACCCTTAGGTCGTGTTGTCCGGTGCCTGGGTGGAGGACAAGAAGATCTCCGTGACCTATCACTACAAGGGCGTCACCGACAAGCTGAAGGCCAAGCTGATCGCCGACGCCAAGGCCCTGATCCAGGCCCATGGATTCCAGCTGATCGAGACTCCCTACGCCTTGGAGGGCAAGCCCCGCGTGAACTGGGACAAAGGTTAGTTGGACCCGATCCTCCAAAAGGGGCTATTAATACAACCGTCATCGTTAAACAATTTGCCAACTGTTGCCATCCATTTGAAAGCTGTCTCCCCATGGCATTCCTTTTAGCTTTCCGCACTTCGGCACCTGCTCGAAACAATTCGATTTTTGACTCGACGCTTCGATGATTTAATTATTGCTAAAATTTCTCTATTTTCTCTATACCCCGATGGGGACCCAACGTGGGCGTCTTTCACAAAAAAATATATTCTAGGAAAATTTTCACACACACACACCGCTCAAAAGTTCACTCACAAAAATCAGACAAAATTAAAACGTCTCGAAAAATATATATACAAGGCAAGGCGGCGCATATAAAAAAAATGTTTTGGTAGACAAAACATCCCGCAGCCAACTGATGTCAAAAGCGCGCCTAAAACTATATATACTTGTCGTCTTATATATAGTCAGTCATTCGCCCGATTCCTTATGATAAATTAACAAATCTTTGTAATTTCTCATAGACACAAGATTTCGCTTTCGTTTTTATAATTTCTCATCACTTGTTTTTGCTACGAGTCACAATATTTGAGGAAAGTTTTCTGTTCCACTTGAAAAACAGATTTTTCAGTTTGGCAGGCTGTGTTTGTAATTTTAGCTCTTTTAAAGATGAATGAAGTCAAAATGAAGCGAAACCAATTTAATTTCATGACGTTTCCAACTAACGATGCGTGGTTTTATAGAAGGGAAACCTTAAGTTTAAATAATTTGTAGTTTTCTTTACGGCAGAAAATCCCAATCTTAGGTGTATTTAAATTGCAAATAATTTAAAAATTTAACTTTCAAAAGGTAATATCCCTCTTATTCGAACTAAAAGGAATTTTTAAATTAGGCTAGTAATCTGAAAATCCAACTCCCTAAATGCAATACCCCTCTAATTTTGTTGTATTCGAAATAAAATACATTTACAAAATTGTTAAAATAATAATAACTAAACGTTTTCCTTGAATTTTTTGATAACGAATTCTATTAAAAATAAGTAAATCTCCTTAAATTATTAAAAATATTTAGAAAATCCATTCGGCCAAATCATTAACATTAATTGTTTTCTTTTGTAATAATTGCTCCTCTAAGTTACAAAAATGTTGTAAACAGTTCAGAATGTTTTTTTTTTACAAATCAGAAATTCTTTTAAAATAATTTGGTTTGATAAAGATTACTGTCCTCAATCTTTGGTTTGCATTAATCCCAACATATAAACCATAAATATTTCTGCATTCCCAAAATTTTCGAAAAAATATGAATACCAAATTTGTACCCCTCTTGAAGAGATTTATGGAAGCCACTTGTCACCTCTGTCCTCTAGAAGACAGCCAACCCATTTCCCATCCGAATTGTCGCTCAGGCCAATGAGCCGTGGCGACCAAATACATGGAACATATTTAAACAGATATATTCGTGTATAAAATGCGTGAAAATCAAAAATTAATTATTATGGTGTACGCCTCCAAAGGCAATAAATTTATAGGGGCTAGAACAAAATTATTGCAAAAAAGTAAAAAGCCGACAGAAATTCGAAAATGTTGTTGTGATACAATTCTGTGAAAATTTGAATTCTCGACGGGCGCATACAAAGGAGAAGGAGAATTGTTGGTGCCGTCTGAAAAATAAGAGAAAACTGCAATATGGGAAGGAGGTGGGAAATCGGTGAATAGACTGCGTCACCAATTAAACAAAAATGTGGCGTTAAACGCCGCAAACGGAAGAGGTATATAATTAAAATAATAAACGGAGGTGGATTAATTGTACTATAAAGTTGATATACAAATGTACTTATTTTTACTGCATACCGGCTAAATGATTCGATTTCATCTATTCAAACACTCATTTACTTGGCCAAACCAAATTACGAAACGAAAACTAGAAAAGATCCGCCCACGTAGACACCTAAAAATAATTCCGAGATGAGGAGGAAAAATTCGGTTAGGTTTCTTGGTGCTGCATGCGATTTATATGATCTAAGATGTGTGCCGAGAAGAATTCTAGACATTTGAAAATATTGTTCTCGCTTGTTTATTGAGCGATTTTGGATGATTTCCAGCAGTGCATAGTTATTTGTACACATTCCACATGGCTTCCACAAGAAATGGAGCATTCTTCAACCCCAGGTTGCATTTAAACAGATATAAACAATATTTTGAAATAAATTTTAAATTGAAGAAATGATTTTTAATTTCTTTGCGGGCAGAAATCAAATAAGTAATGTAGTTAATAAAGGTAAACAATTGCTTAAAATTATTTATAAACATTCGCAAAATACGAGATAAGCTAATTGTATGATATAAATAGTCAACAATTAGCTGCATAAGTAAATAAATCGTGTCAAAAATAAATATGTATGGCATTAAATATGTAAGACTTAAAATTTTATATATAATGCGAAAGACTAAGAGAAGGTTAAAAACCCAGTAGATCTGGTATTTTGAGGCATTTACAGTAAACCTTTTTTAAGGTTTTCTTATATACTTTGTACAGGTCCTAAAAAAGAACTTATTTTTTAAAATTTTATAAAAAAGTTAATATAATTTATTACAACAAATATCCGTTTACCTTTTCAGGTGAGGGCGCCAAGATGATCCTGGAGAAGCAGTTCGACGCCGACTGGGCCAAGAACCTAAAGATCATCTACGTGGGTGATGATACCACCGATGAGGATGCCATCAAGGTTCTGCACGGCATTGGCAAGACCTTCCGTGTCTCCGAGCTGCCCACGCTGAAGACCTATGCCAACTACCAGATCAAGACCGTCGAGGAAGTTGGATACCTCCTGAAAGCCGTCCAGGCCTACTACGAGAAGAAGAAGAAGGCCTAAGCTCAACGCCAGAGGATATTAAGCTTAAGCTAAATTCCACGCACACTCACATTAAATACGCATCATAGTTACAATACCTATTGACTTGAGAACATAATATCTCTCAAAACCTTTCTTGTGTCTTTGATTTTGCCAAATAAAACATAAAGAAAACATTTTTCATAACTTAAGCACGGGTTAATTGTTTCTACACATTTCTAAATTTACTGATTCTGAATACAGATATTTGGATAAAAATATCTAAAGTACAATATTAGAAAACGAAATCTTTCGGACTTTATAAGTACACACATAGTTCGTAAATTGTATAATCAAAAGGGGTTAGGTAATAAACAATCATGTGTAAACAGGTCTTATTGAGCTAAACTTTAATGCTAGAGTTCAATTCTTGTTCGCTTAGTTCCTGCTCCTAGTTCATGTGTTTAGATCCCCTACCGCCTGTCACCCTTGAGGCCACCCCGTCCTCCGCCTCCTCGACCGCCACGAGTACCGGTTTTCGTCGCCGTCTGCGGGGCACTGGTGGCTGCCGGAGCGGGAGCTGTGGTCACGGTGCTCTGGGCAGCGGGAGCGCCTGGAGCGGCTGCCACCACGGGCTGTGGAAGGCCAGCAGATCCGCCCTTTGCAGGAAGCCCTGAAGCACCAGCTACAGCCGGATTTCCGGTCGGAGGAACTGTAGCCAATTGGCCACCGGGATTGGCCACCGGCTGCTGCTCCACCCGCTTCGGCTCGCTCATGTTGACGCTCTCGTTGAAGATCATGCAGTATTCGCCGATCTTGAACACCTCTCCGTTTTTGCCGGAATACAGGGTCAATGAGTGTCGCCAGATGGAGGCGTAGCCCTTGGTCAGTCTCACTATATCACCGGGGGCTATCAGCTTTCCCGGCTCGTCCCAAATCGAGACATTTATGCAGGCCGTGGGATCGCCCACCTAAATGGATAGAATTTGGGTCAGGAATTATTTGTCTGCATGTGCGAAATGATAGAATTCACCCACCTTGAAGTTACGAACTTCCCGGTTTTCCTTCGTCACGGTAGCCACGCCGACTTCTAGGACGATAAAGATCACATTGATGTTCTTCAGGCCCGGCTTGATGTCCTTAATGGGAATGCAGTCTACGTTGTACATGGCGAAATGGTTAAATGTCTTCCAAAAGTGCAGTGAAAAAAATTATTTTGTTTTGGCGTCGTCTTTTAGGGATGGGAGACTCGATGTTAGGGATGTGCAAAATAAAAGTAAATAAACGGAATAAGCCTATTCACACTGGCGTCGCCAATGCAAAAGCGGATTTTCTTCCGGAATCGTTATTTTTAAATTATAGATAAACAATTATATGATTTACGAAAAGATTATAAATATTGTAAGAAATGATAAGAAGAAAGGTTACAGCTATTTATATGTAATTTACTAATTAAGTGCAAGTTAAAATAGGTGGTCGGTTTCGCCCCCTTTTTTTTTGTAGCATCCATATTTTAATTAATAATTACCTTTATATAAAACATTAAACTACAATAACGCATTCGTCCATGCTTCGCCCTAACGTTTATAAAATTTTATTAATCACTATGTTGTTATTACCTTAAAAATTGAAGGAACATAAATTATTCTTTTCCTTAATGTCTTTAATATTTTTAATTTATTACCACAAAATAATTGAAGTCGTCTTTAGTCGTCTATAGGCGCCTGTAGGCTTTTATGAGTTAATGACTCACAGAGAAGTATATTTGTATCTGATAAAGGCAATTGTTCATTTAATGGATAGGTAATTGACTGCCAAAATCGACCCTAATCAATTGTTTATCTTTGCTTAAGCCGGTGCATTGTTTGAAACAAAGATACGTATACATAATTACCGGGGGAGTCACGGAAATCTTGTTCAACGAAATTCCGATACGGTTCTTCCCTTTATCAATACACAAAACCAACAAACTTTGGTTGGAAGAGATTTGACACCCCGGAACAATTAATGCAACGCAATACTGTATATTTTATAATCATTTTTAATTTTTGAAATTAAATAAGATCATAAACTTAGGAATGATTGTTTAATGATATTGACTAAGCTCTTCAATAAATGATAACCAAATGTGTCATATCAAATTTCGTGGAAAAAGAGGAAGATCAAATATGCTTATCAACTAAATGGCAGGGTCTTTAAAAGACAGCCAATTAATTCTCAGGTATCAGTGCTTTATCAAGTTTTAACTTCGCCGGTTCTCCGCAATGTTTAGGTCCACGACAATATTGCTGTGCGTATTTCTGGCACTTGGTCTTCATGGGTCCTTGACAGGAGCCCAGGATGGTAGGCGCTACGTGTGTCTATTAACGGATCCCCAGAATCAATGCAGTTCCTTCTGCGTTTCGGCACTACAGCCAGTGATCGATCACCTTAAAAACGAGCAGCAGGATTTGAGTACCTGCGAAGTGAAGTTAAATGACACCCAGGAGTCACTAGATCGGATAGAAAAGGCGATAGTAGCGACTCAGATCCAAGTATCCTATCAGCCCAAGATCATCGTCCAGGACCTGGAGAAACGACTAGACAGGATAGAAGGTAATCAGACAGCCCTAGAAAGCCAATTGAAAGCTGGACAAAAGCAGACCGAGAGCCAGCTAGCAGCCATTCAGAAAACACTAGCCGAAATCGAAAGGAAAATCGTGCTGCAGAGATATCAACAGATAGGCTCGCGGTATTTCTACATTGAACACAATGTCCTTGTAAATTGGAGGACTGCAGAACAAATGTGTGTTGAGATGGGTGGCCATCTCGCAGCCTTTAAAAATGATCAGGAGTATAACGCCATTACAGGCCAACTCAAGAAAGCAAACTACTGGACTGGTATCAACGATCTAGCCAAAAAGGGGGAGTTTATTTCATTGGCCTCAGGCAAGAAGGCTCCCTATTTAAGGTGGCGTAAAAACGAACCCAAGTACAACAATGATAGCCAGCACTGTGCTTATATCTATGGACATGAGAACATTATGATAGTTTTGTCTTGCACCACTGATCTTATGCACTTCATTTGCCAGGCTGACAACTCAGTTTAGCCAAAGGATTCAAAGGATTAAACTTCTACTTGTTCACTTATTACACAGAAAAGAAATGTGCTGGTCAATTTTATATCAAAATATTAATAAATAATATATATTATTTGGTATTTTATATGATATGATAAAATATCATATTGATATGTTTAAATCATAAATTTGGTCAAAATCATGTCTGTTTATTGTTGATATGAAATTAGGTAGAATTGACCCTATTTTACATCGAATTTTTTCTGTATACTTTTGTCCTCAATTAAAAAAGAAACATAATGAAAAGTTGGTTTGTATTGTATATAATAATTTCGGGGAATATTACAACACGGTTATATAAAAATAAAATAAAATCAGATATAAAAAATGATGGGGTACAATATTTTTTGTACAACAAGCTAGTTGTTTGGCAGGCATTTAATTCATTTATTTAACCGAATACCCTTTAATTTATTTATTTAAATTTTACACGTCTTCAGCGCTAAGTGATTTCTGGGGCACCCTTAACCCTGCCCATCTCTAGCCCACGATGAGCTGTAAAACTATCGATATTTCCGCCAAAGTCCGTGGCATTTCTATCGCCCCCCAACTCTGGTCACTCTAATCAAAACAATAAAAAAAAACAGGGGTTTTTGTGTACGAAAATCTAAATACTTTCTGTGCGCTCCAAAAATGGCCTTGGAGTCCGGCAGCAGCAGCTCGGAGTCGGGCAGCTCCTCCACCAGCGGATCCTCAAGCGGTTCGGAGACGGGCAGCAGTTCGGACACGGATTCCAGCAGTGCGACGCCCGAGGAGAAGCCATCCACGAATTCCTCCGCCAAATCTCAGACGCAAACGCAGCAACAAACGAATGCGGGGAATGCACTGAGAAGAAAGCCTGCTCCTCCGGCGGCGGAGGAGAAAAGCAAGGGCCCAGCAGCATCTTCCAGCAAAAAACCGGTGAATCCCCCGAAAAGTCGCCTCTCTAGTGACGACGATGAGGAGGTGAACACCGCGCCGCCGGCCAAGAAGAACGCCCGCTCCCTAGGCAGTTCCACTGTAACAGCGGCAGCTGCTGCCTCGTCGGCCAGAAGGAAACCCCCTTCAACGGGCAACAAGCCCAGCAGCAATCCAGCCAACAAGCCCGGCAACAATCCAGCCAACAAACCCGGCAATCCTCCCCAGCGACCGGCAAACAACACAAACAGATCCCTGGAAAACGGCGAGGGAAAGCGACCCTCGCTCTCCTCCTCGTCGAACAGCACGGATGACTCGATGAAGATTGTCAAAAACGGCCGCAAGGTTCCCCTGAAAATGGCCAGCACGGTGAGGCCGAAACAAATCAGGGGAAAACTGCCACCGGCCAAGAAAAACGGCGGAGGACCGGCGATCAGTAGTGACGGCAGTTCGGGATCCGAAAGTGGCTCCAACTCGGGCGACGAATCCAGTTCCGGGAGCGATTCGGAGGGCAGCGATTCCAGCAACTCCTACAGCTCGCAGCAAGTCAAGGGAGGAGCAAAAGGTAGATGGAATCCTCACATCAAACAAATATAAACCTGTTGCTAATTACTTTTATGATCTTTATAGGCAAAAGAAGCGGACCAAGTAAAATCCAAAACTCCGACAGCGAAGAGGAGCGAAAAGACAAGGCGAATCCCATGAGGAAACTCACTCGATCGCTCAGCATGCGAAGAACCAAACAGCAGCCCAAGCAGGACACCGATTCCGAATCCGACGGAGACCTAGAAGATGACAAACTTCTGGTATCCAAAAGTCCCGCCAAAAAGCCAGCACCCTCGAATTTGAACGCCAGCAAAAGCAAGGTGAAAAGGGAGTCTATAGGAATTAGCAGTGGCGTCCTGAGCTCCATTAAATCCCGCCCCGTGTCACCGATAACGCAGACGGAGAAAAAGTGCCCCATCGAGGGCTGCGATTCATCCGGACACCTGAGTGGCAATTTGGACAAGCACTTCCTGCCGGAGGCCTGTCCCATTTACCACAACATGTCCGCCTCCGAGTGCAAAGAGCGGGCTAATGAGAGGAAACTGAGGAATGAGCAGCGCCTAAAGATGCCCGTCAACATAGTCACGGCCCCCGGTAATCAGCACACCAATCTCAAGACGCTCTCGCCTGAGCAGCGCGAATTTCTGGCCAAAATTCGCGAATCCAGAGCTAACTTTAGGCCGGCCAATAACAATTTTCTGGACTCGAAGGTGAGCTTTTAATTTCAAAATAATCTTAAAAGATATATACATAAAATATCTAGACAGACTACTACATATTAGAGCCCTCCGTGAATGGATTCAATTAATTATTTTGAATTTTTTGTTTTATATAAATGAATTAATTAGAATTTTAAGTTTAATAGAATTGAATGAATGAATGGCATGAATTCCAAAACAATTCAAACGACAATTTCATTTGAATAAGAAAGAGCCATAATTTTGTGATTAAATCTGCCTGAATTTTATTTACTAAGCAGTTAACATTGATTTGTTACAAATTTTACGCTTTTTGTTCTCAAAAGAAAGCACAAAAAAATCTAGCAAATTTAAAAAATTCATAAAAGGTATTCATTCAATTCAAAATGAATTAGAAAAACATATAATTGAATTAAACAAATAAGAAATTTCATGGCATACTATGATAAAACAAAAATTGAATGATTCACGCAGGGCTCTACTACATATTAAGAACCAATATTACTAACTAACGCCTGCTACTTTGATTTCCTAGGTTAAGCTGGAAAAAGACGTCACGGATGAGGACCGAGAACCAAATCTGACTGGCCTGGTGCCCGACTACGATCTGCAATTGTTCCGGGAAGCTCAAGCTCAGGCCTCCGAAAGGATAGAAGACGAACTGAAGGATCTGCCTGTGGGAAAGGGAATAAAGTAAGAATCATCAACCGAATTTAGTTTTGAAAATTATTAAAGAACTCATTTAACCCACAGATACATCAGCATGGGCAAATACAAGATGAAGGTATGGTACCAATCTCCGTATCCCGACGACGCCGCCCGCCTACCCAAAATGTATATCTGCGAGTTCTGCCTGCGCTACCAAAAATCAGAGACTGGCATTAAGCGGCACGCTGAAAAGTGCGTCTGGCGGCATCCGCCGGGCGATGAGATATACCGCAAGGGAAAGCTGCAGGTGTGGCAAGTGGACGGAAAGCGTTACAAGCAATACTGTCAACATCTGTGTCTGCTGGCTAAGTTCTTCCTGGATCACAAAACCCTCTACTACGATGTGGAGCCCTTCCTGTTCTACATTATGACGCTGGCCGATGTGGACGGATGTCACATAGTCGGTTATTTTAGCAAGGTAAGTGAAGAGATATATTTTTTAGTGCTTCAAATATACAAACTGTATTTATTTTAAATAGTAAATAGTAATAAACATCCTGATCGATGTTTAAAATGGGTAATTAGTTGTGAAACTTAAATATCATAATTTACTGAATCTTATTTTCAAACTAGAACTTTGTTTCCATTTTGAGAATATAGACAACTTGTACTATGTCATAAGGAAAATATAAATTTTATTACACTTTCAATACTACAAATTTAATTTACGACTTTAACCGAATTAAAAAATCATAAAAATTCATAATCTGTCTTTATCCGTTATTTATTATTATTTATTTTTTACTAAAATATGATATAAAATAATTATCCAAAAAGATTAAAGAAGCAAAGAAATATTAAGTTTTTTAAATCTCTTTAGATTGAATAATTACAATTTGCGAGGTTCTTTCCTGCAATCAAACTGGAAAAGTTTATACCACTCATTTTCGATTCCTAATTGCTTATAATTCTAATAGTCTTTATCTTTCGCCATAATATTTCCGAACCTTTATGGTTATTCCCCAGCATGATTCCTTTATGTCTGGAGACGGAATTTGGATGCGAGGAATGTAGAGGCGAGCATCCCAGGCTCCGAAAGGCAGCCACAGCCCATGTACGGTACATATGTACGGGCCAACCAGACTTTATGGTTGTAGTCAGATCCAGACAGTGGCCCTGCCTTGACCATGCCCACCAAAAACCAGATGATTTTTCCCTTTTTCATTTTTATTTTTTTGTCAACGTTTTCGGGTAAATAAGCAACAGACAGAGAGAAACCAGGAGAGTAAATGAGAGAGAATCATTTCCCCTGGCTTTAAAAAGCAGCCACGGTTTCTTGACCTCCCCTGAATATACGGAATATACGAGCCGGGGATGTATCCACATTCAAGGGTTTCGGGATCCCACCTCCCGTTTGCAGTTTTACTGCAGAATGCAGAAAGTTTTTGGGCGCTGGCAGAGACTGGGTTTGTGTTACAAATTGCGCATGTCGTTGGCTGATGCTGCAGCTGCTCCTCCTGCTGATTCTGCCCCTCTTTGGAACTGCCTTTGTGACCACTCAATGCCCCTGGCGCAGCATCCCGAGTCAGTCAGAATTTTGGAGTTTCTACACATACTACAGATTTACATATATTTACTACGTTCATGTGAGGAGACATTCATAGTTTTGTAACTACCTAAAACCGAAATGAGACATTTTTATATACTTCTTCAAAATTAAAAACCTTTTTGAAATTTAATTTATAAACTTATTTAGATATACCAGTCTTAAGTTTATTACCAGAAGTTAAAAGATGGAAAAATGCTTAAATGTGAATTTAAAACGCCTTTAAATTTAATCACTCTATTATTCAATTTTAATTCAAGCATAAACTAATCTTTTTTTTAGTATACTTTATGGATATTATAGAAATTAATTAAAACAAAATTGAAGGTCTTAAATAGCTTTATCTTTTGAACAAGACAGACCCAATCCTTAATTAGTAATTTATGAATAATAATTCCTTTTGCATAGATTTTTGTTAAACCCAAAACTATTCCCCAAGTCATGAGATTGCATTTTCAAACTAGGCTGCGTATAAACTCGAGCTAAAACCCAACCCCTTTTAAATTTGACAGTGATAATTTTCGGCAATCCTTTGTCCTGCAGTTAACCTCCAACTCCCCGACTCCGAAATGGGGTCCAGACAGCAGCCAGACATCGAGGATTGGGGAAGGGAGGCGGATTGGCAGGCTGGGCACGCTGCTCCGAAGCTCGGATGCTGCGGGATGTGCGTTGGACACGATTGAGGTCGTGCACCTCTGGGCCGGGTCCGGGAATTTCTGCATCTGCGTCTGCGCCTGCTCCACAAACAGCGGTTGCCCGGGCCAAGGAAATCCGGGGTAGGGGATCTGGGGGCACCGGGGGATCAGATTGGGAAACAGGGACTCCGCTCCGCTATGTGGTTGCGTTCCCAGACATCAAGGCAGACAAAAGAAAAACGAGCAAAAAAAAAACAGACCTCAGAAAACAAAAACCAGGCGTACTACAAAGGGAAAATCAAAATGAAAAACCCGCAGAGTACATAAATGAATTTCCGAATTGTTGCCAGATTCCAGATCTCACACACAGCAAATAAATTCGAAACATTTAAAACCACTTTTTAGAGAGTTTTAAAATTTGTTTTAAACCCTAATTTTGAAAAGAAGCAATTCGATCGAGGTTTATAGTATAAACCCATATTTTGTTTTATAGTATTTATAGTAGATAACTATAATATCTGGTTAGTTAATTTAGGTCCGATTTCTCAACCGCCTGTTAAATTTAAAGTAGGCTTTGAACCTTGAAAACGTGTAGGAATTCTGCGATTAAGCTTACTTAAAATTTAAAATGCGGAAGATAAAACGGTTTTAAACCTTAAAAACGTATTGGATTTCTGGGATAAAGCCTACTTTAAATTTGAAGTTCGGAAGATAAAACAGCCCCTAATCTTATATGTATGTATATCACAACTTATTAATTATGCTCCTAATTTAGGGCTTTCACAGATTTATTATAGTTTTAAAACTTAAATCTTTTGTAAAAAATCGTTATAGTAGATGCAAAAGAAAATCCTTTCTTTTAACCGGAAGATTATAATTTTTTTAAAACGATTATAGTAATATTTTTTCTCTGTGCTTTCTCCTCATGGAATTGTTTTTTTGGCAATGACCGTGAGAAGAAGAGAGGGCTTGGCATGGCTATATCCATGTACGAGTCGGTCTGGCTTGCGTATATATCCCGATCCCCCAGTTAGTGGTGCTCGTCCTGTTCCTGCAGCATCTATGTGCGTATGTCTATATATTTACGCACAGTTCTCTCGCTATTTTGGCCATCTCTTTCCGGCTGATGTCGCCATCTCTCTCTGACTGTCTCTGGTGCTCCATGTCTATCGATTCATTTAATTTTGCTGGTCATTGAACTGCCGAAAAAAGCCAAAAGCGACAGATGAATGTTGCCATCATCTCCTCCACTTGCAAAGGCTCCATTTCCCCTCTTCCTTTGTCTGGAAAATGTCTGTCTGATCCCCCAACTCTAGAGTTTTCCCCCAGCTACCCATACCTTTCTATACGGATTTCACCCATCCCGCCGCCGCTTGATTTTCCCACTCCTTTTCCGTCTGTCATTGTTCTTGAATGTTTGTAATTGATTCAATTTTAATAATATGTACGCCTAACCTTTGCTTACTTTTACCTGGATTAACGGAATTCTTAAGTAGCTCCAGATTAATATCTGGTTTATTTGTTCTTTCTATTTCTATTTAATAATTTTAAACTTTAACTCTTATCTTTACAGCATATTCCTTTCCTGCAGGAGAAGAATTCCTTTTACAATGTTTCCTGTATTTTAACATTGCCGCCATATCAGAGGAAAGGTTACGGGAGATTACTCATCGATTTCAGTAAGTTACAAATTTTAACAACGTTCTTTTATATTAAAAATCAGTTACCACTAAAAAGTGATGGACTAGAATTATTTACTATTGTCTTAATTTTATTGGGTTTTTTTCACACTGATGGTCCCACCAAAAAAGGTTTTTAAATCACTTTCTTAAGTTGTAGAGATTCATCGAATGAATATTTGAATAAATATTTGCCAATATCATGTTTACAAATTCACACAAATACTTATATTTTACTTAATTAATTTAATTTTGCCTTTTTAAATGTTAAAGCTTAACCAAATTTCTTTAATTTATTTTTGATAAGTTATAAACTAATGTGAATTTTTAAGAACTGAAAAATGAACAATCTACTTTAATTAATGTTTAAAACAATTTCATGAGTTTCTTTCAATATCTTTTATTACGCTTACTTTATTTTTGTTGTTAAGGATTGATATGAAAATTTCAGTACAATTGCTTTAAGCAACTAAGGCAACCATAAATGCATTGCCCTTCTTATTATTAAATCACATTGAAAGTATCTTTATTGTTTTATTGATTCAATCAAAAAGTTTATTTTTTCCATCCAATTACTTTTAAACGACGTATTCTTCTGTACTCTCTTCTGCGCAATTCTTTAAATCAAACTCCAAAGTGATCCTGAAAATCATATGATATCAATTATATTGGATAGAGTGGTTGGGATTCCACTCAAATTGGGCTTAAATGAGGCTTGTTAGTGAAAAGTATATTGGCCACTAAAATTTCCTGGCTTTATTGAATCTTTGTTCCTCCTCTTCTTCCGCTGACTCATAAGTGTGTGTGTTGAATGTGCAGGTGTGTGTGAAATATAATCATCATTGCATGAGAAAAGCCAAACATGAAAGAGACTTTGGCTCAGCTTTCCAATTGCAGTTTTCCCCCACCACTTCCTCTTCTTCTTCTTCAGGTGCAGAACATGCAATTTCTGCATCAATTAAACGTAGACACACACAGGTGTAGACTGCATATCGCATAAGTAATTTTAAGCGGCTGCAACGAAAATTGTTTAAAATTAATCCAAGTCTACAGACAAGACAATAAAAAACACACAGCCAGCCAAAAAAAAAGGTAGCTAAGTAAAAAATTATTAAAAAAAGAAGGAATTACCCTGCCGTCGAAGTGAGGGAGAGGGGAGAAAGACAAAGAGAGTCTTGAGTCATACATTTACATTCGCAATGGCGTCGACGTTGGCAGAGAAGCCGGCAGAGGCGGCGGCGGTGTCTATGTAAAGTCAATACATGCAATGCCATGGGTGTTGAAAAGGGGTGAAGTTGGGCGAGGGGGGTTGGGCGGTAATGAACGAACGAAAGAGCGAGCGAAACGACATTGACCTTACACAGGCACACGCGAAAGCCCACAGACACAAAACCAAGTGCCGGCCGGCAAAAAGAGTAATGGTCAAGAGAGAGAGAGGGAGAGAGATATTTGCATAGAGAGCGAGTGAGGTGCACAGAAAATAATTGATTAATCTAATCTATCCTAAGAAAATCTGGTTTATTACAAAATGTAAAAAGATTTAAAACCCACATTTTGGTTACTATTGATGACTGAATATTGTTTACTTTTGTGGAAAGCCTCAAGTATTTTCATATTTTAAAAACCAATATTTAAAAATTATAAATAAACGAATTGCAAAATATCCATAAACTGGCGGTTAAAATATATGGTCGGTATCGAAACATCTTTTACCATAAATAAATACATAGCCCTTACAATTTTGTGGACGGTTTTTTTGAAATTCGTAGTTATTAGTTTTGTTGAAATAGAGTACGCAACATAATATATTTCACGATACGATAATTTATTTCCAAAGCTTGTTGGTTTAATTTGGTTTTGTTTCATGTTCAAAATACATACAAACATATTAGCGAAGGGGTCGGTGTACAAATCATTTTCGTCATCATTAACTGAAATTGGTTATTTTGCACATGGCAGGTGGAAGGAACACTTGCAGACAGACAGGGCCCCTGTCGCAGGGGTTAACTTACCCACCAGCCCCCCAAAAATCAAACAATCCAAACCACGTGTGTGAGAGCGGGATGGCCATAGAACATTTCTGTCCAGGTGTAATAAATGCAGCACGCAAAATGCAAATGAGAGGGCAAAATTTAAAGGGGCGAACAAGGGTTGCCACCTACTGCATTAATTAATGAAACTTTCTAAAAACCCACAAACAAAATTCACCCGAGTTGCCAAAAATATACGAAACGTGCCGCTTAAAGTTTTTTGCTTTTATCTTTTGGGAGTCCCGCATAAGCAACTTACCCACAACAGCACACATGTACAGTCGTAATTCTGTAAAGTGAACCATGCTAATCTAATGCTTCGTTAAAGCGGGATTATAATATTAATTCTTCTTTACCTTTTTTATTTTGAAATAAGACTGCAAATAAAGTTTATTTAAGAACAACTTTGAGTGGCACTTATTTTTTAAAAAAGTTGTTTTAGAAGAATTTAGATGTCCCAAAGACCAAACTCGAAATTATTATTTCCTCTCTATTATTCGAAAAGTATTTTAGAAAACCTCATAGACTTCGAGAATAACGCGCTGTAACTCGATATCTGAATTAAAATAGAGCCGTTAATATATTCGACTTATGGAAGTTGGACTGTAGATAAAATTTTGCAGACACAACAACACCAGAAGAACAACAATAACAACAACTGTTGGCGGCAGACAACAAAGGTCAGGACAGGTCACAATGAAAGGGCGTCGTCCTCTTTGGCGGGCACAAAAGAGCGAGTAACGGTTACTCTCTTCCTCTTGGCTTTTTTCTCTCTCGCTGCTCATTACTCACTGCTGTCGACACTCTTGTATCTGGCCAAAGAACAAGAAAAAATACATAGAAATAATAATTAGAGCCTTGCTAATTTGAGTTAAAGTTGCAGTCGCCGTCCTCTTTTGCGCATTTAGCGTAGATTTTCATTCTTTAACTCATTACTGTTCGTTCGCAGCGCCTGTGGGGTATGCAACAACAATGTTGCTGCGTCAGCGACGAGTGTGCGCGTGCGAGCGAGAGCGCGAATGTGCGAATCAAAATGGATCGATAAAGTCGTCTCGACGTTTCCACTCACACTCCCCTTTTCACTCGCACCAACGCCGCTTGCCCGTCTCGCCGCTCCAGGATTTATCGCAGCTAGAAAGAAGAAGAAGGGAAGGAGCGAGACGAAGTGCGGCACAAAGAAATCAAAGTGCCACCCGAAAACGCCCTCTTGCGGCCAGAAGTCGCGACAGGACCAGGACAAGGGGGCTCCCCTTGAAATGCATAAAACAGCGCGCACAGTGGGACGGTTCCAATCTGGTTATAGGGGACAATGGGAATAGCACAGGTACACAGCCAAAAATTTCCACGAACCATTTCTAGTTTTCCATGATAATTGGGTGATCCTGAGTAAAAGTCCCATACAAACTTATGTCCCATCACCTAAAGGTTCCGCGGTATAGCTAAGAATACAAAAAACCGATGTTTGCCCACATTTTGAATTACGTGGCCTATATAATTGGACTAACCTTTATTATTTTCGGTAGGACCTACTCTCAATACGTCACGGCATTCCTAAAAAATAGTCCCCATTGTGAACCATTGCCCATGTCTTTGGAATTCGACGCCAAAGTTGAAAATCCCAAAATTGTAGAGATTTTTCTGATGTAAAAACAATTCTGAGGATTAAATCTTGAATGGAAGTAATTTTAACTATTCATTGTATCTATTGTTCATTGTATGCTTTAATTTCGGTTTAAAGCGTTTTCATGAGAATATTTTTTATTGGATTTATTAGACTAATAAAACCGATTTTTTTATTTCATTATCTACTCCTAAATGTTGTCAAATTTTAAAAAAGTCAAGGCATCCTACAGAATGGGAGTAAACATTTACATTTTTCTATGTATGTTCAGTGAACGTACTTTAGTTTCTTAGTTCTAGAGGTTGCCATGACTTATTCAAAATTTGACAACATTTAGGAGTAGATAATGAAATCAAAAAATAGGTTTTATTAGTATAAAAAATCCAATAAAATGTCCTCATGAAAACGCTTTAAACCGAAATTAAAGCATACAATGAACAATAGATACAATGAATAGTTAAAATTACTTCCATTCAAGATTTAATCCTCAGAATTGTTTTTACATCAGAAAAATCTCTACAATTTTGGGATTTTCAACTTTGGCGTCGAATTTCAAAGACATGGGCAATGGTTCACAATGGGGACTATTTTTTAGGAATGCCGTGATGTATTGAGAGTAGGTCCTACCGAAAATAATAAAGGTTAGTCCAATTATATAGGCCACGTAATTCAAAATGTCGACCAACATCGGTTTTTTGTATTCTTAGCTATACCGCGGAACCTGTAGGTGATGGAAAATAATTTTGTATGGGACTTTTACTCAGGAGCACCCAAATATCATAGAAAACTTGAAATGGTTCGTGGAAATTTTACAAAGTTTAATTTTGTGTTCCTGTGTAGTTAATCGAGATCATCTTATTACTGGAAGAGTCTTTATTAACAAGAAAAGACAGGTTATGTCAATATTATACTAAAGGTGAATTTAATGAATCCCCAATGTTTAAATTCACCTCTTATTTGAAAATTTTGTATCTGGTGCATCATAATAAAGACAGTCCTTCTATTTCATTTCAACGGATAAGACATTTAAGATGTTTTGTTTTGGGATTTAAAGGCGAAACTCTGAATTCCCCTAAATTTTCGAGGTTTAACACCGAGTTAAAATTTAACATGCGGAAGAGAAAACGGGCCATGCTAAGATATTATGACTATTAACATAACTTTTTCCAAAGTTTTCATTCCACTGTGCTTAGCCGTGCAAACGAAGCTCTGCGTTTGCCTCTGCTTGTGTGCGTTCAACCCTGCGCTCGTCCAGTCAGTCAACAGGATTCTTCCCCCTGCCCTGTCCCTTTCTTCTGCTATCTTTCCCGTTCTCTCTATGTTCCTCCTCAGCTGTGTCTGCCGTCTGCCATTGAGTGAGTCCTGCTACACCATTTTCCTCTCCCGTTGCTCCACAGCTGGTGTCAGGGGTGGAACAAGGGGGGTGTAGCACTTTCAAAAACGTTATGTATTTAATTTAAGCTTTGTTTTAAGTCATTTAAAAAATGACGTTAAAATCCATAATTTTTAAACCTCTATCTAACCCCCAACAAAAGCTATTTATTGCAATTCGACGTAATACTACATTACAATTTTACACTACATTGGATATTATTATTGAATGGTCGTTTTTGTGGTATCAGGAATAAAATAGGAAAGTTGTCGAAGAATTGAGTACCCCACTCATTACCGATATTTTACAACGGCTACGCCCATGGAGCCCCTCTGGCTTTGCTCCTCTCTCCCTCAGCTCCTCCGTGTCTTCTCATCTTCCACCAACTGTTTTTTTCCCGAGCCTGCCTCAGTGGATTTTGTGTTGTGTCCTCGCTCTCTCGTCCTCGTCGATTTACTTAGCTTGCACTCATTGTTGCTGTTGCCGCTCCTTCTACCCACCGCTCCCCCCGGCTCTGTGTGGTTGTTGTTATCTAGAGACGGGAATTGTTGCTGCCAGACGGCCCTAGAATCCAGAATGTAATTTTTTTTGGGGTGGGTCCTTTCGGGGTGACACTGGCGTTGGGTTGAATGTACGCCAGAACGTTGCTTAAATGTGGAGACCATTTCCCCGCAGCGATCCCCTTGAATACTTTGCGGAATCCTGTCTAGACGCAACACGCACACACTTAAAAAATACACCCACACACATACAGACGAAGCAGAGGGCGGGCCCAAAGTTGGTCACCATAAATAATACGCCGGAACTCGGCTCTATAGCATACTTCTTGGGGTCTATTTTTACCATAGCGTATCTATTTCGACCTTACTTGCAGGCTATCTGTTGACCCGCGTGGAGGGAAAAATTGGATCGCCGGAGAAACCTTTATCCGATCTCGGCCTCATTTCGTACCGCTCGTACTGGAAGGACGTACTTTTGGACTACCTGTGCAATCGCTCTGGAAATACGATCGCTATCAAGGATGTATCGCAGGTGAGTGGTACTCATTTTATATTTCACTTGAAAGTTGTTAGTTGCATTTAAAAAAAATCATAGTAAAAGAAATAATATTTCAGATAAAACAAATAATTAAAAAAAAAAATTTTTTAGGAAACGGCGATTTACTCATATGACATTGTGAGCACCCTTCAGGCTCTGGGCATGATGAAGTACTGGAAGGGCAAGCACATAGTCCTCAAGAAGCAGGTAAGTCCGGAGAGTAAGCTCCAAGGAATACTTTAACTGAAATATGCTTCTTCCTAGGACGTTCTGGACGAGTACGAGGAGAGGGTGAAGCGAAGAGGAAGCTTCCCCAAGATCGACGACTCCTGCTTAAGATGGCAGCCTTTTATCAATATCCAACCGAGTGCATCTCCATAACCACGTGGTTGGAAGCATGCCAGAGCATGCTTTGCGGACGCCGATGACGATGTCGAATCCTTGGCCCCGAATTCCTGATTTCAGAGATTTTATTTTTGGGTGGACTTCTAATAACCAAATCTCCAATCCTCGTCAATCTTGGTAGCCTCTTGTAATTTGGTGTGCTGATCAAGAAGATCAGATATTAACTTTTTGAAATGATTATTGTTTGCATTTATCTCAGCCGATATATGCCTTAATGTAGAATAATTATTGTAAAAATATTTCTTAAACCAAGATGCATGAGAATATCAAGATTTTCCACGATTAGACGATGGTGTTTTTTAGAAGCTTTTATCTCAACTTTTTTAATATTCGTTAGTAGATCTTAAGGCCAGCCTATAGTATTTGTACGTGTCTGTGTCTGTACTTGTTGGTAGTTAAGAATTTTAGTAATTAGCAACCTAAGCTACATAGTGAAATTCTCAAAAGAAAAAAAGAATAAAAAGATAAGAAAAATATACTCGGTGTACGATCAAAGCCTTGACTTGAGATTAAGATGAATCATGGAGAAACCAAACTCCCAAGAAGAAAGAGGAAGAGAGGTGAGTCAACGAGTGGTGTGTGTGCGGCGGGGCAGCATTGCAAAAAGTGCACACACACCAATAAGCGTAAGCAGTGGCAGAGAGACGAGCGCATTGACATTCGCCCGGGGAGACAGGTGAGAGGGGGAAGGTGCGAGAGGTGGGCAACCCAGACAGGATGCGAGAGGGCGGGGGGTGGCGGGGTGTTGCCAAAAAGCATACACATGCACCGGGGGCAGCGCTGCAGAGCGGCAGAAGGCAGCAGCCAGAGAGAGCAAGATGGAAAGAGAGCACAGTGGGCAGTTATCCTTTAGCTTCATAAAATTAAGATCAAAAGATAGAATTAGGGTTTGAAATATATGTAGTTTTAATTATCAGAGCTCTAAATTAAATTCTTATTTCAATATTAACAACTTATACAAGAAAAGTTAATCTCCGTAGCTAAATAAGTTTTGTCAAATTATGACAAATTCGTAGTTCTTAATAAAAGCATTACGACCTTTCTAACATAAGTTCGTCCAAAATTGTTTTCCATTAAACTTTTAAGTATAAATCACATTTTATTCCAAGAACGAGATTAAATTCAAAACGTATGACCGAATCTTTACTTAGTCAGACCAATAATCTAAAAGTTTTGTATAGGTTTTTGATAAGGTTTTTAATGTCTCATGAAAAACGGGCTGTGTGTTAATGTGCACCACTGTACCGAGCTTTTTGTTGCAGAATGTTTAATGGTGGTGCAGTTTTATAACAAAGGAACTTGAAATGGCTGGGAATGTATATACAGTGGATACTCGTTAAAGAACAGAAAAAACTAGCTTTTAGAGCTGACTGATCAAATTCAAACTTTCGAGTCATTTAACAAAAATTTAATGTATTGAATATTTCACATTTCCAACTTTCTATTATTTTAGAAGATTATGTTATGATCGCTCTATGATGCTCTCGTAAAAAAGTCAATTTCGCCACCCCCATTTTAAAGCAGTCAGATGATAGGATAGAATCTAAAAATAAAATATACAAAAAAATATTTCAGATGGATTTTAAAAAATTGAAGTGGTCCGGGCGCTTTAGAATTTTTTTCAAACAAAATTACAACTTGTGGGTCTTTAGTTTAAGCTTCTTTATCGTCGTCATAATACTATTCAAGGGCTCAATATACAGAGTCCAAAAAATGTCTTTCTTGTCAAATTTTCCTTACAAGATTACAGCACTTTGAAGCTATTGACCTCCTTCACTGTACAAAGGGCCCACTGTACCCCCATATGCATTTGCCGCTGCGCCCGTCTGTGTGAGTGCATGTGCATGTGGGTGAGGAAGAGGAAGCAGGAAGCAGCAGCAGCAGCGTCTCGACGGAGTGTCGCCCCCCTTTTTGTGCCACTGTCGGCGGCGGCGCCACTGTGCGAGAGAAACGGCAACACACGGGCGAAAGAGAGAGCGCCGCGGCCGCCGCCGCTGCCTCTGCCGACGCCGACGTCTGCGAATAAAATTCGCGCATTTGGCTCTTGATTTGCGGCAGACATTGAGCAGTGAGCATTTGATCGCCAACAGCCGGCAAACGCGGTTCGCTCTCTTCGCCTGCTTCGCCTGCTTTCGCCACTTGGCCTTCTGCCGATTCCGATTTTCGGTTTATCTCTGTGGGCAGGAAAATCGCAATCGGCCGGGCCATATAAAATAAAAGGCCAGACAGTTTCTGGGCTTTGGCACAGTCGTTCGTTTCGCACCAAATGGGAGACAACAACGTGGGAGAAAAGAGAGCGAGGCGCTAAGAAATGTTCGAGGAAAAATAGTTAACGCGCGTGTGGTGTGTGTGTGTCGTGCTGTGCGTGTGTGTGCCAGGCAAAGCCGAGAAAAGTGCAACGGAAGTTGTCAGTCGCAAGAAAAAAGAAAAAAACGCAAAACGGAACTGAAACATATTGTGAAATTCGAGCGACAGAGAAGGCGATACATCAACGTGGTTTCTGGAGCTTCTGGGTTTTTCTACCAAAAGGAATTAAAGAACGTGAAGAACACAAAAGAGACGGGCAGCAAAAAAGAGCAAAGTTTATTTTTAGCATTTTGATATCACAAGGCAGCTTTTTTCGCTACACTACGAGAAAAAATGACGCAAATGGCGACCACATGATTCTACATATTTCCATATGACCCATACAGACGTAGCTTTCTTGTATTTGGGGAACTTTTTGTCGCTCAAATATTAATTTTAGATTTTTTTAACCCAGACAAAGCTCATTTTATGGAAGTGTGAGTGAGCGGGTGATCGAATTTTGAGCAGGGACTACCATTTTTTTTCCTTGCTCAGGGTTAAGGGCAACAACAAAAAAATCGGTGGCTTGGCTAGAAAAAAAGCATGTGCTGCATTTTTTGCTGAAAAAAAGAAAGAGAGGATGAGCGAAGAGACACCCACACTTGGACAGACACACATACAAAAACGAAGACAGTCGATTTTTGAGGTTAGGAATGCCCCACCCAAGCAATGGCTGCTCATTTATATACTGCATATATATGTATACATATATATATATAAGGCTGTAGCGCAGAAATTTGCCATTATTCACAGTCCAAAGCTGTTCGCGATCGCAGGTTTATGAGGCGTGTTGTAAGAAAAGAGAAGACAGCCGAAAAGGTAGTTAAAAAATACTTTTGCAAAAATTTAAATGCCCACACAGACTTGAGAGAATTCGCGAATGTATGGAAGGCACGTGTGTGTCTCAGCCGTATGTGTGTGCTTATGTACCGGAGTGTGTGTGAGCGATCACGCACGTAGCTGCGGTTAGTAACAGAGAGAGAGAGAAATATCGCAAGAGAGAGCTTAAAACGCCGGTTCTTTTTTTTCCCATTTGTATGCTCATTTTTTACGTACGTCTTCTTTGGCTTTCATTTCTTTGCTTGTCTCTTTACAGCGTTTCAAATATAGAATATCAAGGGTCTGCCAGACGAAGCGCACGAAAAAGAGAATTTGCTGAATGAAATGTAATAATTCGCCGCCGGATGACGTCACGTCCTATGTGGTCATTAGCACTCCATGCTCCAGACAGAGGCGCATCAAAGGGGGCCTAGTTCCTCCCCCTAAAAAGAGTTTGAGGTTTCCACGAAATGCCAACTAAACTAATAATTGGAATATTTTAATCGTTTTTCCCAAATATCTCTAGGTTTCCCCCACAGTTTACTCTAGATACGCCCCTGGTTCCAGCTCTCCACTCTCATATGACTAATTTTGGAATTGTTATTGCATAAAATTCGCATGGCGTCATCATCATCATCATCGCGAACAACTACAAAGCCCGCAGAGATCGTTAACCCTAAACTGGGGACCTAATACCAGGCACAAGGTCGTCTCCCGTGTCCCCCGCCCCCAAAAAGGGGTCGCCATTTGCTGCAGTTTTGTTGCCAGGCGGCCGAACATCTGTCTCGGAACTGCAGAAAAAAAGAAACCTGACTGGGCTTGGCTTTATATCTACATCTTCAACTCCAGCTACAGCTCCTACTCGGTATATATGACGATGTTCCCCCGGCTGAAAAGTCTCCTACCTTGCGCGCTAATCAGTGACCGGGGCTGGTTTTTATATACAGTCAGGTACCTGAAGTAGCGCGCGTGGTGCCAGACATACATCTCCATCCCATCTCCAAACGCATTTAACTCGCTGGCGAGTCCTCGAAACAAATCCCATGTGTATCAACTGTCTCCCATGTCTATTGTACTTCATCAGGTGCTCTGGTGTGGCCGTAACCCGGCACATGTTGAAGTACACTCAATATGAGGCGATTTGCATACGAAAATTAAATACAACAGTGCTTTAAAGCTTAAGAAATTAAACAAAAAAATATTTATTTTATTTAGTTCTATATAATAGACTTAAATTTGTATCTAAATATGTGTCTACATAAACAATAAATGAGGAATCGCTTCTAAAGATATGCTTTATTTTATTGAAAACGGAAAAACCAAAATGACGAAGTTAAACAACTATTCAAAGGAATGAAATTTAATAAAATATCTAAATAAAAATATTTTTTGCGGATATATCATGACCAGACATTTAAATGCTTTTCTTGATCTCAGTAACTGGTATATCAAATTGCTTTATACAAATTGATCCATAAACTTATAAATTAAAATGCAGTCTTCAAGTCATATAATCTTTTTTGGGTTTGACCTCCTGCTCAAATTTCCAAACAGGTTGCGGGCTTTTGTATAAAAATAGATTGTTTACGTCCCGGAATAAATAATAACAAATCGTCCATCATCGCCTAATGGCATTCGTTTGAAAACAATATTTTGTCAATATGCGACATTTTATAAAACTATGTTCTAATGTAGTAGAATTACTAAAAAAGTGTACTGAAGTTCTTCTTTAAAATTTTATCATAATTATTATACCATTGTTAATGTCAATATATACAAATTAACTATTATATTATGTTGGCATTAGCAAAAACCATTTATTTTTATTTTCCAATTGGTTTAAAGCTTTCTTCAAAGATTAAATTTAGTGTGAATAGTTCATTAAAACCCATCGATATTCTTATTCTCCGCCCTAGGCGATGAAAGAGTGTGACCAACTGAAATACCTACTTCAATCTCTAATTGGAAACTCATGAAAATTTTCCAATTGGAATTCAAAATTATTTTAAAACGTATTATTTTTTGACTGTGGAAAAAAAATTTTAAAAACTTAAATAAAATATTTGCCAGCCTTGCTACTTCTGAAAAATTGAACATTTTCTGTTTGTTCTCAACTCAAAGGCCAAAATCGTTAAGGACCTTCCAGAGATCTCACCTCCAAAGACTAATGGACTCCAAAACACTTTGAAAACGTTGTCGAAAATATATATATATTTTTTGAAAATAATATTCCCGCTCCGCAAAAAGTTCTGGTATGTTTTGGTATTCGAGCACCGCGGACCTTCTGGCTTTTTTTGGCGTTCCGGCTGCGTTCACACTGACCTCCGTAAGGTTATCGGCATAATTTTGTAAATTCTCGACTTTGCCGTTTTCCGACTCGTTTTGTTACTCAAAATTCCAACTGCAGCGCCGCCGAACGACCCAGTACACCCACGCGCGTTGCCACAGCAGGATTTGGATAAGGATTCTACGGGGAGACTAACGAAAAAGGACGAAAATGCTGCGCTCCCTTGCAACAACACGAAACGAACTCGGGGCCCTTCGCTCCGTGCTCCTGCGATCGAATAACGCCACCTATGTCCGCCGATCGGCCGGAAATGTGGGAGTGCGCGCCCTCAGCAGCCAGCTGATCAACTCCCGGAATCTCCTGAACACTAGGTAAAAATCCCCCACAAATCTCCCCGCTTTCGTTGAGGTTAGAAATGGTTGTGTAATATTGCAAAATGCGTACACTGCAGCGGGATTATGTGTGGGCTCATTTCGGGGGGCTCAAAAGGGGGCGATGATTGACAGCCCCGTGTCCAAGTATTTAGCATCAATCTCGTATACCCCAAATACATACATATATGTCTTGCGTGTGTTGTGCGTGCTCCACTGCTGATTGGTTTTATGGCCAAGGTCATATACACGCTTCTATATATCGCATGATGCGTGATAGTGTTTTCGGCTGGCTGATAAGCTGGAAAATTCCGTTTAATGATTTAATGGGTCATTCTTTTTGGAGGCTTTTGTTTACATCTGTTGAGTGTTCGATTAAACACCTCTATATGTTCGTAGTTAGTATGGGAGTGTGGGTACGTAAACAACAACAAACCATCAGCTGACCGAGCGGCCATAAATTAACCCATCGAAATTGCTTAAATCGGTTAAAATTCTAGATGATATTTCCTTAAAAAATATGTATAAATCTATTTAACTACAAAACTTGAAATATTTATATTTAAGATTTCGAAGTTTTCCGGTTAATTAATTCTATGTTATTCCATTATAACTTACTATAAAATTTCAAATTATTTGATTAAGAATTTTATAAGAAATGTTTAACATTTTGAGAAAATTAAAAGGACTAAATAGAACTTTGTTTATTCTACAAGTCGTGACATTCATTGCATCTGAAAATATAATCTTTGCTTTTTCAACAAGTATTGTTATCTTTTCAGTTGTAGATTATTTACATACATTTTAAAACCTTCTTTCACCTCATTACACCTGTTGCATAAGTTTATGAATTTTTAGACAATGTCAAGTTCTTAAAAAATGGGCCAAAATGTTTAAAATGGTCTAGAGAACTTTTATATTTTGTAAGAAATATTAACAAAAGAAAAGATAAATACAAATACATAAATTACTCATTCTGTAAAATCGTATATGAAACTAAACAAATCGTATTAAATTTCCCTCAGGTCCAAACTTACCACTAGCCAACCCCTGGCGGGATGGAGCTACAACTTCGTCCGCGCCTACGCCAGCCTTCCGGAACACATCAGGGTGCCACTGCCGGCCCTTTCGCCCACCATGGAGCGCGGCTCAATTGTCAGCTGGGAGAAGAAGGAGGGTGACCAACTCAACGAAGGTGGGTAGGCCCTCTCTACATAGCCCGAAGCCCAAGAATAATGTATTTCAATCTGATTCAAGGTGATCTGCTGTGCGAGATTGAGACGGACAAGGCCACCATGGGCTTCGAGACGCCCGAGGAGGGCTATCTGGCCAAGATCCTCATCCAGGGCGGCACCAAGGACGTGCCCGTGGGTCAGCTGCTGTGCATAATTGTGCCGGATCAGGGCAGCGTAGCTGCCTTTGCGGACTTCAAGGACGATGGTGCTGGCGCAGCACCAGCTGCTCCGGCAGCAGCGCCAGCAGCTGCAGCACCGCCACCACCACCACCACCACCGACACCGGCTCCAGTTGCCGCTGCGCCCGCTCCAGCTCCAGCCGCTGCTCCAGCAGCAGCAGGTACGGGACGTGTGTATGCCAGTCCGATGGCCAAGCGACTAGCCGAGGCACAACAGCTGCGTCTACAAGGTTGTTCAATCCCAACTAATGCCACTCTTATAATCATCCTGTCCCATTTCGCCATGCACGCTTCACCTGACTAAAATCCATTGCAATCAATCAATACCTATTAATGGAAAAACGACGAAAGTAATCAAAAAAATGCTATTTTAATTTTTTAATACAGATAGTTTTGTATTACATATGCTATGGTAAAAGTACTTAAACTTAAATATAAATATTGAATAATTCATTCCAATGATATAGAAAATTACAAGAGTTGTTCGCACTATTTAATTTTTTGATACAGATAGTTTTTTGTAAGATAATTTTCTATGCTAAAGTTAAAATTTAAATATGTTAACTAATACAACGTTAATATAAATATTTAATAATTCAGATGATATACAAAATTACTAAAGTTTTTGGCACTAAATACTTATAATCCTGAAATTTTTTTTTTATTATAACTTATTTTTCATTATTTCTCCATCATGCAATCCAAACCACTTCCCAATTCATTTAGCAACCCCAGTCCAATTGTTCTGTTACTAATCCGCGGCTTTTGTGTGCAGGCAAGGGCAGTGGAGTCCATGGCTCAATTAAATCTGGTGATCTTGCAGGCCAGCAAGCGGCAGCCAAGCCTGCTGCAGCTGCTGCCAAGGCCCCGAGGGCAGCCGGAGCTCGTTTCGAGGACATCCCGGTGACCAACATGCGGGCGGTGATCGCCAAGCGCCTGCTGGAGTCCAAGACCCAACTGCCCCATTACTACGTCACCGTCAGTTGTAATGTGGATAAGGTGAGTTATTTCGAAAATAGTGTGGTATCGAATTCCAACCCGTTTAAGATGTCGCCTTTCAATTTCCTATTTAAATTAAACTCTTGTTTATTTGCAATTTGATTATTACATTTTTATAGATTGACTCTAGTCTAAAAAGTTTTCTCTCAAGAAAGTGTGCCATAGAATTTTTGTACAGCCCTATGAATGTTGTACGCAAAATAGTTGATTTCCAAAAGATAATCTCCTTTTGGAAATGGTAAAATCTTTGTAACTTGTTGATTGACAATATCTGCGGTTATTTTGTCAAAAATAATGTCGTGCTGAAAAAAACATTTTAGCTACTACAGATAAACCTTAATTAAAAATACTTACGTCGTAGGGACAGGAATGATTTAAATTTGAGCAAGAAGTAATAAAAGTATAAAAATATTTCTGAACAGGGTAAGAGTTGGGACTTTTTAAAAATTTGCAGGCATCAGCTGTGACATTATATAGAAATGGTTTATAGCCATTGAATCGCTTGTATAATATTAAATTGACCTAGAAAAGGTAACGAAGAGGCGCATGAAGGAAGTTTAGTAACTTAGTCGCATTCTTACCTTCACATCAGTAGCAATTTTCTTTAGTAAATATTTTGCAGACAGATATTTGTAGGTTCGATTAACCGATTTGAGGTAGCAATATGCAAAATCACCAAAACTAATGTCTGTGGAATTGCATTTGCAGTTGGTAAACTCCCACTTGGAAGAAGTCTGTAACACAACATTATTAAACGCAACCATTATATGTTTCTTACAAAATCAGTACGTACTTCAAAAGCAAAAAAGGGGATTACAAAGATTTGAAGCCAGATGTAACCCATTTTTAACAACAAATGTATCAAACATTACTAGTACTCTACTTGAATTGTTCTGTCTTAATGTACAAAAATTGAAAACGAGTTAATAATTTAAAACACATGCACAATTTTCCCATTTGATTAGGCATGAAATGGATATTTAATCGTTCGGAATGAATTTAAATGATCGAAATAGGGGTTAAAAATTAAACAAATTAGCATAATAAAAACTAGAATTTAAGAATATTATATTTATTTCTAAATCAAAAATCAATGTTACTAATTCAATTCTAATCCAAATTAATGGTTCGCAGCTCCTGAAGTTCCGCGCTAAGGTTAACAAGAAGTACGAGAAGCAGGGCGCCAAAGTGTCCGTGAACGACTTCATCATCAAGGCCGTCGCCATCGCCAGTCTTAAAGTGCCCGAGGCTAACTCCGCCTGGATGGACACAGTCATCCGGCAGTACGACGACGTCGATGTTTCAGTGGCCGTCTCCACAGACAAGGGCCTGATTACCCCGATTGTCTTCAATGCCGACCGCAAGGGAGTCCTGGAGATCTCCAAGGATGTGAAGGCGCTGGCAGCCAAGGCACGCGACAACAAGCTGCAGCCCCACGAATTCCAGGGCGGCACCATCTCTGTGTCTAACCTGGGCATGTTCGGTAAGGAAATTATTTAGAATAGCCTAATTAAATAATTTATTACAAATGGTATTCTTCTGTAGGTGTGAACCAGTTTGCTGCCGTCATCAATCCTCCTCAATCGTGCATCCTCGCCATTGGCACCACAACGAAACAGTTGGTGGCGGATCCTGATAGTCCCAAGGGGTAAGAGTTAAAACATTATATTATATGCCGAATCGATCTAATAATATCTCATCCCTTTAGTTTCAAAGAGGTCAACATGCTCACCGTTACCCTGAGTGCTGATCATCGTGTGGTAGATGGTGCTGTTGCTGCTAGATGGCTGCAGCACTTCCGCGACTACATGGAGGATCCGTCCAATATGGTATTGTAAACGGACTGGCACGACCCATCACATTTAGAGACTCCAACGAAAACAAAAAAGGATAACAAAGTTAGCACCCTCTCTTTAAGCGAGGAGTTTCGGTCGATATAAATTATGTGGATGTGTGGATTCTAATCGGTGTTGCATATGTAAAGTTTTAAATCGGATTTAACTCATCCCATTTTATTACTTATATATATATATATAAATTTAATTGTGTAATATTTGATGTAGTTAATAGTGGTCGCGCTATCGTTGCCATGATTGTAGAAAGAATACACAAAATACTTGAATGATATTCGAATTAACTCACTCACAGAGCTGTAAATTTCTGTTTGATATGCAAAACGTTTTGTATGCTTTGTTCGCATATGTTGATCATGATGGAGTATGAAAATGGAAGTAGTTGAAAGTCCAAAGACGCGTTGAATAAACCCAAAACACACTCACATGAACTAGCCAATTCATAAAAACAACTGGATTTTTATTTTAGTGGTAATTGGAGTACCTTTAAGGGTTCTTGAATTGAAGAAGTTAGTCAAGTGGAATATTTCTGAATTGATTGTCTTGAGGCGGGTGAAACTAGAAAGGCCAGTTCCGTTTCGACATTCGTGTTTCTAATAAGATTCATTTAATATAAACATTTTTATCAAGAATTTAAAAACAAAGAGTTGTTGAGTTATTTATATAACCAACTATGAACTTAAGTTCGCAAAAATCCTCAACTTTATGTTAACATAAACAGGTCCAAGACCTAATAGAAACCAATTAAAATATAAAAAAAGTGTTTTCTTTTCAGTTTTTTTTATTGTTATTCAACATTTTATTTATCTATTCGCTTTGCACTAATTACACCCAAAGTTAAGTTCCCCAGGAGGTCAGCAAGTAATTTCTCAGAGGTTTATAGTATTATGTAACTAGTTTATTGCCAAAATGTTACGAACTAAGCAAACACAAATTGAAAGTATTTACAATCATAAAGTTAAGCTAATGTCAGTAGGATGTGGATGTTGGAATAGAGGAATCACCACTGGGCAGGGCCCAACTGGCTCCATTCGGCCACGTATTCTGCCTGTTTTTCAAGTGCGGGGAACCATTCGACGCCACCGTAATTAATAGCGGGCAAAGTGCCCTTGTAGTTGGCGGGCAGGATGGAGGGGTCAAGGAACTTCTGCAGGGACTTCATGTCGCTGCCGTGGAAGTGCATCTGTAGGAAGAGAAGAAAAATTTTTATTGAATGACTAAATAAATAAATTAAATAATTTAAAAACATTAAAAAAAAACGCCTATAAAAGTGATTTTAAGTCAATTATTGGCTTCTTTTCGTGGTCAGGAAATGTTGCATACTTATTTGGATAGTAGAACTACGTTCTAACAATTACGATATATTCAACTAATTAAAATATTTTCCTAGCGATTAATAGAACTAGTAAATTGTACTCACCCTGCTGTTCAGCTTCTCCTTAACGAAGGGCTTGAAAAGCTGCCAGACCATGTTGAAAATAAACGGCTGTTTCACGAAGTGCACCTCCTTCATCCTGAGGGGCATCGCCTCCTGGATGAATGTGAGCAGTCGCTTGGAGAAGCTCGGCGACAGGGCCTTTACCTGCTTCATTCCCAGACCCTCGAAGTCCATGATGCAGACCACGCCCCTCACTTGGGTCTCCTCCTCCAGCTGGGCGGCTAGGTGGACCATGTAGAGCATTCGGAACATCTCATCGCTGGTAATCTCGCTGGGATCCCACAGCTTTCCGCAGTTCACGATCAGCACTCGGCGACCCTTCTGATCGCAATTTCTAAGCACGTTGATCACACTGCCCTTCACGAATTTCTCCTTGACCTGGTCGACCAGAAGTCCTCGAACCAGAGAGGCATATTCTTTGCGGAAGCTGGCGGTGGTTTTCATCTGGAAAATATTTAAAATTACAATAGGTTTATAAACTAAAATATAACATTATATGTGTTAATAGCCATTAAACGAACATTGTATTAGAAAGAAATAAAATTTTATAATTGCCTCAATAAATCTTTGGACCTATGACGCTTACTCCTTACGGAAGTAGTAGTTGGGTTTCATCTGTAAGCAGGTGTGACATTGCTAGATAAGAATCCATACTTGATAAGGAATTGACCATTGGCCAGAACTATAAAATGTCCATATAAGTTATGCGGCTTCCTATGATGATAAATTTTAAATGGCGATCGTTCGATTTTTATGGTCTGATTCAGTCACTCTATAAGTCATTGAACATTCTACATGCATAAAGAGAATCCGATCGAATAGGAATCGGGTACCGCTTATCAGGGACTTCTCTGCCGGTCAGAGAGTTCAAAAGCAAAAAGTTATCAGCACACGGGTACTGAAAACGATCTTGTTGTTGCGTTTTATTTCAGATCGTATGTTTCTTCTTTTACAATATCCCATATATTATTTCACCTAGACTATAAATGAGGTGGCAATTTTCTAAGAGACCTTAAGCAAAGATTATTATTTTATTACATGGCAGATATGTTAAATTTGGACTTTGGACATAGTTTTATGTGCCTTTTTGCTAATGAGCAAACTCATTAAATGTTTTGTATTTTTAAGTAACCGAACCCAGTTTAAGAAAGTAGGTACTAAGTAAGACATTTTATATTGATACGTGTATAGATTTTGTTCCTTTTAAATTTCTCGTAAACTTGTCTGAGTTTAGGTTATAGACCCCATTTCAACAGCTCTAAAATAACCAATGTTTGCTGCTGATAGGACCTGTTAGAGACGTTTTATACATTTGCTAATCTCTCAAATGTTGAAACAAATATCACGTCGATTGTGTAGCCGGTGTTGATAAGCAGAAGTCATTGGATTGTGTTTCTAAGGCGGTAGATTCGTAATATACATATATTTGTTGAAAGACGATTCGATTAAAGTTCGACATGCTAGACTTTATGAAATGAAAAGCAATTATTGTGCTGCTGATTGTATTTAGCTTATACTGCTAAAATTATTTAGATCCCATTGTAGCAAAAAACAATAAACAAATTGTTTAAAAAAAGGTAATAGATATCTGTACTAATTATTGCATTTCTGTGTCATATAAATAAATACTTTGGAAATACCAAAAATTTACTTAACGCATAATATTTATACTTTCAATTACTGGATTTATTTCTTTAAATAAAATTTTAGACGAATGTTATTTGGGAAAGTTAAAAATAATTGTTTATTTCGATTATTTGCTTTAAACAAATGAAAAAATACGAAAAAAATTCAGTTTTTATATTACGAAAAATTACAGGAAAAACGAAAAAGCTAGAAAATATGAATTAAAGCACCAACACACTCTAATTATTTTTAAATTTCCAAAAACTGGTCAGAAAAGGTTTTATTAAAATTGGTAAACCCAATTTTACTTTTTTATCACCAAAAAAGTTAAACTTTTTCAATTCAATATTTTCTTTGGCCATAGAATGGCGCTAATAACCTTATTAACTTAATTTATAATGTAACAGATGTTTGTTCGACTTTGGGAATTTAGACTCTATTCCTCAAAGAATTAGATCAAGTTAATTGTACGCACCTTTTCCAAGGCCCCCTCGGGGTAAAAGTGGCAGGCGCGCAGGAAGACTGTAAGGAAGGCATCGTCGTCCTTATAGTTCAGCTCAGGAGTGGCCTTGAGCAGCTCCCGCAGCTTGATGATGGCCGCCGCCTTGACCTCTTCGGTTTCCCGCAGTTCCACCCTGGCGATTTCCACGGTCTCCGGCTTCAGATAGCCCAGACGCAAGTTGAAGGCCTCCTCGGCGATATCGGTGGCAGCCATTATGTCGGTTGGTTTCTTTCTATATGTCGGGGCCTGCGTGTTGGATTCGAGAAATGCGTTCTATGTTAGTTTTTCTGATCACTGATTGCCAGGGGGAAAATTGCAACTTAATTCGGGGTAATTTGGCACCAGCACTTTTGAATCGATTTGTTTGAACAATCTTCCCCGATTATCCGGGTTAGCAAGTTGCTTTATTATTTTTTTCTTATTTACCTAAGGCGAAGTCTAACGATTTTCACTTTTTGAGGGTTTTTTGTTAGCGTTCTTTACTTTTGCTTCCTCGCGACTCGTGCGGTTCGAGTCAACTGAAATTCGGTTCGCCTTTGGAAACCCTTGTGAGTTAACTTCTATATTATATATCAGCCGAACGACAGCTTCGACGTCGACGTCGATGATAAAGCACGTC